AAACCCTTTTTAAAAAAAAAAAAAATTCATTTTGCATTTTAATCTCCTGCCTGTATGATCTGAGTCTGTGTGCGTTCGTGTGTGTGTGTGCGCTGCATGGTTGCCCACGTCACAGCTCCTTTCAGCATAGCCGGAGGAGAGGTGTCCTGGCAGGCATGTGACACACAGATCAGAGCCATATTTCTGTGTTGCAGACAGTGTTGGTCAAGTTACTTGAAAAAAGTAATCAGTAACTAATTACTGATTACTTCCCCAAAAAAGTAATCCCGTTACTTTACTGATTACTTATTTTCAAAAGTAATTAATTACTTAGTTACTTAGTTACTTTTTAAAAATACGATTTACAACCTGAAGAGGTGATAAAGCGATAGATCTTTCAGCCCAATTCTACTTTTTCTGCATAATCCATCATACAAAATGTAATCAAATGGAAAAGTCTCTTTTTAAAACTTGTTTTATTAGTTTTAATCTTTTAACTTTATGCATCAAGCAAAAATGTAATTATATGCAACATTCTCTGACTGGAAGAAATTTGTTTAACATTTAAACCTATTTTCTGCACATTCCAGCTCATAAAATAAAATATTTTTTGTGTTTACACTCAGTCTTTCAAATAGATGCAAGTAAAACACAGCAGAAAATAAATAAAGTCAAAGACTCAGCGGTCCTGTTGCTCTATTTTCACCTGTAAAGCAGGAGTGGGGCAGGCGGAGGTTTACCCTGGTGCAGGTGTGCCGCGGTCAGTGGAAGAATCCGTGAGTTTCTCTGTGAGTTTCCCATTACATCTTAGCTACTCGGTGCTTGTTGGAAGTTTAGGGTTTTTTTCGCTGTAAAAAGAAGTTTTCTTCCCACGCACAGCGGACACGAATGTTTTTGTCACTTTTTATGGAATCAAACTCAAAGTAAGGTCAGTACTTCCACGCTTTAAACGCTGCACGCTCATACTCTCTCTGCACTCGATATATGATCCATTGTTGATCTGCACACAGCTGTTGTCACTAATGGCGCACTTGCTTACGTCACTGTCATGAGACATTCTCGCAAAAAATCACGGTTTTAGTAACGCAGTAACGCAGCGTTCCTACGGGAAAGTAACGGTAATCTAATTACTGTTTTTGCAATAGTAATCCCTTACACTACTCGTTACTTGAAAAAAGTAATCAGATTACAGTAACGCGTAACGCGTTACTGCCCATCTCTGGTTGCAGATGTGCAGTAAAGACCCAGTGCTGTCTCCTGCCTCTTACTTTCACGCCAGAACACAACGCAACGACAGGCGTATCACATGAAGGGGTTACATTGGTGCCGTGACACTGTGGATTTGTCAAGCATCGACGTAATCTTGATCACTGTGGGGAGCTCTTCGTAATTGCCCTTGTTCCATGTTGGTTACTTTTCCTAGCTTGTGTAAGACTTTTTGAATGAGCTTGGATATTTAATCTGCTCAATTCTGATCCTGAATAACATCAAGTGTTAGTTACAAATACTGTGTTTGGTTTTGTACAGTTACACTATTTGGAATTTTTTTGTGAACCAGATGCTTTATTCATCATTATGGAGTCAGCATCTGGTTCAGAGGCAAGTGGTGTTCCTGATGGGGAGGTTTCCTCTCATGTGAGTTTGGGGCGAGGGTGGTTTCTTGGGGATGGGGTTCAGACACCTAAACTTGGTGTATCATTTGTTCCCAAGTTTTGTTCCACTCGTCTCCAGGTTCCCCCTGTGACGTTCAGACCCCGCAGAAAGCTTCCAATGCTGGGTTGAGTACACTCATCTCAGATTTGGCCAATCAGATTGGTCAGTCCATTGTAGCCCAGCTGCAAGGTGATAAGGAGACCAGTATGTCTACTGGGGCCTTTAAGGCTGAGCAGGGACCTCCTGAGCTAAATTTGTCTGGGGTGAAACTTGTCTTGCAATCAGACATCAAGGGGCCGCCAGTTTTCAGGGATGACGGCAGTGATAAGTTCTCATTCAGACCCGTATTTCTGTGTTGCAGATATGGAGATGTTCTTATGTTTTGGGGATGCGGTCTTTCATTCATTGTTTTTATGGTACAGTGTTTTATTGCCTGTTGGATGGCGATTATTATTTTGATTGTACTTAAGTATAATGTTTGAACTATAAGCACTAGAATATTGGGTCCTGGTTATTCAATCGTATTTGTCTGACTGTTTATTTGTTTTTTAATTATTTTGTTTATTGTTCTTATAAGTTGTTTTTGATGATTTTTCAGTGACATATTATTTATTTTGTGCTTTTTGTTTTCAGAGAGCTTAAGTTAATGTTGTATTTGATCTATTATATTATTGTAGTGTTAATGAAGCTGCAGACACAGCTCCTTTCAGCATGGCCGGAGGAGAGGTGTCCTGGCAAGCATGTGACACACAGATCAGAGCTGTATTTCTGTGTTGCAGATGTGCAGTAAAGAGCCAGTGCTGTCTCCTGCCTCTTACTTTCACGCCAGAACACAACACAATCACAGGTGTATCACATGAAGGGGTTACATTTACATTTCTACATTTATTTGTTTTACTGCCACCAACTGTCAGCCAGTGGAACAGCACAGGATGACCTACAACAGACAGATGTTTCCCATCGTCGGTTACACCAGTGGTTCCCAAACATTTTTTGCTAGGCCCCCCTTTGTTTTACAAGAAAAATATCCCCCCACGCACAAACACATCCGCCACACACACCCATATTTTGTTTTTCCAAACCCCAAACATTTTACAAGGGTATTTGTGAAAACGCAGCTGTTTCTATGCGCTTGGACATTTCGTCCACACGTAAACGGCGTTTCGAATCACCGAAAATTGAGATTTTTTAAAACTCCTTTTTTGCGTTTATGTGTGGACGAGGAATCACAGAGTTCGTCACACAACGTCAAAGGTATGTGCCTTTATTCACGTCACGCTGTGCGCCACGTTGTTTACATGGGATGAATTGCAGAATGGCAGATAGAGACAAAATACTGTTAATCTGACTGTCTGCAGATTTACACGCAGTTACTGTCCCTCCATTTAGAAAGGCAGAGGCGTCACGGTGTGATTATTTTTCGTGTAGTTGTTTTTTTCCTGTGTAATCAATACATTTTTCAAAAAATGCCTCTCTGTGCAAAATGGGTTCAAAAACATAAACAGCTGTGGGATCCTGTTTGTCCGTGATTTGAACCGAGAGACAAATCGTGGCAGGATCAGCCTGATGTTATTTGTATCCAGCTGTAACTTTACTGTATAAAGAGCAAACATCTCCAAAATGTCAGGATCAGCCTGATGTTATTTGTATCCAGCTGTAACTTTACTGTATAAAGAGCAAACATCTCCAAAATGTCAGGAGTAGTTAGTCATTACAACAAGTGTTTGTGAACTAAAAATCAAGAATGTGGGATCCTGTTTGTCCGTGATTTGAACAGCCCAGCGCTGCTCCCGACAGGGAAAACTAATTCTGCAGGGAGACCTACCTCGGCACTTGTGCAGGTGAAACCAAAGTATATGAAAATTTGCTTCACCATATTTTCTAGTCTTTGGCTTGGAATGGAGTTGGTTTGGAAACATGTTCAGCGATGCTTCATCTCCTGCTTTGCGTTTGTGTGAACCTGTCCATTATGCTAACATTGTCCAAGCGTTTTGTTTTTTTCCTTTTCATACCACGCTGGGGAGCACTGGAATAAAAAGCTGTGACGACAGCAGGGCTGTTTCCAATGGGGTCTGCTGGAGCAGGTGGAGACTGAGAAGAGCTGGATTGGCACCAAAGTGACGGAGTACCTGGCCTTGCTCGCCCCGCTGCTCTCCTTGGTTTCCTGAAGACAGCCTGCGTCAGAATCCGTTTGTCCAGATTGTTCTTTAACAAAACCAGTGTTTAGGGTTTACCAGGGTTTATTTCTGTTTTCAACAGACAGGAGAGCTTTGACTGAGCGATCGCAGGCAGCTCCATGGACACAAACACTGTTGTGAAGTCGAGAGGTGTTCTGAATACTGGACAGGTCCCTGCTGATGCAGCGATCTGGTGAGTAATGAGGCATCTCTTCAGCCTTAAACAACACGAAAAGCAGGTGAGATGACCAACAAACCTCCTTCAGCTGAGAATTTGACATGAGAGCAGCGAGACCAGCAGGGAAGCACCTATGAAACGGGTAATCAGAGGTAATCAGACAGGGGAGAGAAGGGAAGTGAGCAAAGGAGGCCCAAAAGCAACAGAGACGGATCAATGCACCACAAACTGGAAGCAAATTATTCACGTTATTTTGTCTCTTTAGTTTGTGCGGAGAGTAAAAAAAAACAAAGCTCTTTGTTGTTGTTTTTGTATTTTTACATTTACACATTTACAAGAAGTTTTTTAGTTGTTTATTCTTCATTTAAATAACTTTCTTTTTCAGTGCAATTTAACAGTTTTCAAAGCAAATATTCTTTAAGTGCTTAAGTGTTTGTGGCCCAGATGCAAGGTAGAAGAGGGACAGTCCGATCATGTCCCCTTGTTTCCAGCATCTCTAAATGATGCTTCTTTAAATCTGATAAAGGCTACGTCCACACGTACCCGGGTATTTTTGAAAACGCAGATTTTTCTATGCGTTTGCACCTTTCGTCCACACGTAAACGCCGTTTTCGGTCACTGAAAATGGAGATTTCTAAAAACGCCTGCCAGGGTGGATATTTTCGAAAGCTCTGTTTTTGCATTTAGTGTGGACGAGAAAAACACAGAAAACGCAGCGTCAAAGGTGTGCGCCTTTTTTGACGTCACACTGTGCGCCACGTTATTGTTTCGGTGAAATGACAAAATACTGTTACTTCTACTCTCTGCAGTGTTTAAATGCTCACATACACACACAGTTACTGTCCCTCCACACATACGACTCGGTTCTGCTTCTATGCCCCAGCTTTGTTTACTTTTTCCCACTGAGGCTTCTAGACTTCTGATTGGCCAACATTTCTACACGGTTAGGAATATATCGCCACCTGTTGCTTTGGCATGTTCATAGCAGTGTTTTCCTTCACTTCTGCGTTTACGTGTGGACGGGACTATTTTTTAAAACGAAAACGGAAAATCTCCGTTTCCAAAAATACCCGTGTACGTGTGGACGTAACCAAAAACTGCAAGAATAACTTCAGTTCTGTCTGTAATCATCAATATGTTTGTGACTGTAAGGTTACAAGTAATCTATTCTGTCCTGAAAACAGAGTTCACAATGATGATCAGGTACAATGATCAGTATCTGATAATAAAAAAAAATAAATAAATTATAAAATATGCAGATTTCACATCTTTCATTGTTGCATTAATTAAAATCTAGAGATATATATGAAACAGTAACAGTGATGCAGACACACTAATGATCTGTTTAGCTTAAGAAAACATGAACTTCTAAACATTTGAGCTACCGTTTAATGTTCAGTGCAAGTTTAAAGAACTTCTTCATTTTTACACCCTTAAACCAGAGTCCAGCTCAAAGCCCCTGTCAGTCAGAGCTCAAGCCACACATTGTACAACCAGCTTCCTTTTCTTGGAAGTGGAGCACCTAAGGCGCCGTTAGCCGACAGTAAACTCGCCCAAACGTCACCACTGAGCTCTTTGTAGATAATCAGTTCAGAATCAAGTCAAAGATTAGCAGGCAGAGCTTTAAGCCTGTAAAGTCTTAGAGTCAAAGCTTGTTCACATTCATTTGTGTCCATTACATGTCGATCAAGTCAGACTCTCTACAGGAAGAGCTGGAGACAAACGGTGAGGCTGACGAGATGGAAGAAGACAAAGATGAAGGAGTGAGCAGGACGACCCCCGCTGCTTTGTGATACGGGGCGTGAGGTAGTTGTGGTGGTGTTGGTGGTGCTGGTGGGGTTGATGGTGGTGTTGGAGGCGCTGGTGGGGTTGGTGGTGGTGGTCGTGGAGGGTGGAGACAAGAGTGTCCCCAGCGTCTTCGTCAGGAAGGAGTCAAAGGTGCTCACTCTGGTGAAGGTCATGACTGAGCTTCGTCTCCTCCTGGCAGAGGGGCTTGGATCTGTTAACACGACCGCCTGGAACCAAGAGCCGCCCTGCTTACACATCAGCGGGCCGCCAGAATCACCCTGAACAGACGGAAAGGGTCAGTTATTATTTTAATGTTATATGTTATATTTTCCTGCGACTCAAAGGAAGAGTTTAATACACCTTTGTTACCAGAAAGTTTGGACTATGATTATTATATTTACTTTTAAGCAGCTAAATCCAAATTAAACAACATGTCAGAAGACAGTGTTATAAGAAGAAGAATCCAGTCATTTACCTGCTGCAGTGCAAACACGTCTGTACAGATGCTCTCACTCGATGATGAGTTCCCACAGTTTACCACCGAGGTCTGAAACTGCTGCATAACTTCCTCAGCTAACATCATGAAAGATAAGAAAATCCTGATGTTTGACTAAAGAAACTGTAAGTGCAGTGGTCCACATGTGTAATCTGAGAGATGGACTGGTGCAGAGTCTGGGCAGAACTCTGTCAGCCTTCATGTTGCTGACTCACCTCCTCCTCTTCCAGGACTCCAACCGGCCGCCCAGCACGCCAAGCCCTCGGCGAAGGTTCTCCCGTTGTCCAAGCAGATGGGCTGGATGTAGTCGGTCAGGGTGGGCTGGGCAGATAGACGGAGGATGGCTATGTTGGTCCCGGTCGTGTTGCTCAGAGTGATATTTGTCACATTCAGCGTCACCTCAAAGGGGTTGGATCCATTTAGCTTCAGACGCCCCAACACGACAGTCCACTCGGACGCTACAGGGGAGCTGTGGGAGGAACGAAGCACACAAACATAAACTTCATCAGCTTCAAACAAGATCTACACCTTTACACTCAACTTCATGGGACCCAAGTTTTACAGACTTGATCCTGGTGACATTCAGGCCTGGGTCTTATTAAAGAGGTGAAGCTACAACGGCCCTGAGAGGTCAAACAGACTTCAACTGAAGAAAGAACTAGCCAATTGAAAACCTGCTACAGCACAAAATACAACGGAAGTTAAATGATGTCATGAACTGTCTCATAGGAAGTGACAAGGAAAGAGTCCACACAAGAAGTTCACCTAAATTTGAGACACTTTATTAAACATAACCAATAGACTGATGCCTATGGAAGAGAGAGGCTGAGCACTTCATCTGAGCCAGCTTTAGCCGACAGTCCTCCCGTACTAGCTAAGAAATAACAGCAGGTCATGGCTTTCTTGAGTGGGAGCATCTTGAGTGGGAGCGTCAGCATCACAGACTGCATTACGGATTACATGAACTTCTGTGTGGACAACACCGTACCCATCATAAAGGTACGGTGTTTTTCTAACAACAAGCCATGGATGAATCCTGAAATTAAGGCTCCCCCAAGGAGAAGAAGAGAGTCTTTAGATCTGGAAGTGAGCGCTGTCCAGAAGAAGCTGAAATGAAAGATAAGGCAAGGGAAGGAAAAATACAGGAGGAAGACGGAGGAGCAGCTGCAACAGGACAACATCAGTAACCCAGTGGATACTGGACTACCTCACAGGACGCCCACAGTATGTTTGGACCAGAGATGGGCAGTAACGCATTACTTGTAACGCTTGACTATAATCTGATTACTTTTTTCAAGTAACAAGTAAAGTAAGGGATTACTATTGCAAAAACAGTAATTAGATTACCGTTACTTTCCCGTAGGAACGCTGCGTTACTGCGTTACTAAAACCGTGATTTTTTGCGAGAATGTCTCATGACAGTGACGTAAGCGAGTGCGACGTTGGTGACAACAGCTGTGTGCAGATCAACAGTGGATCACATATTGAGTGCGGGAGAAAGTATGAGCGTGCAGCGTTTAAAGCGTGGAAGTACTGACCTTACTTTGAGTTTGATTCCATAAAAAGTGACAAAAACATTAGTGTCCGCTGTGCGTGGGAAGAAAACTTCTTTTTACAGCGAAAAAACCCCTAAACTTCCAACAAGCACCGAGTAGCTACAACGTAATGGGAAACTCACAGAGAAACTTACAGATCCTTCCACTGACCGCGGCACACCTGCACCAGGGTAAACCTCCGCCTGCCCCACTCCTGCTTTACAGGTGAAAATAGAGCAACAGGACCGCTGAGTCTTTGACTTTATTTATTTTCTGCTGTGTTTTACTTGCATCTATTTGAAAGACTGAGTGTAAACACAAAAAATATTTTATTTTATGTGCTGGAATGTGCAGAAAATAGGTTTAAATGTTAAACTAATTTCTTCCAGTCAGAGAATGTTGCATATAATTCAATTTTTGCTTCATGCATAAAGTTAAAAGATTAAAACTGATAAAACAAGTTTTAAAAAGAGACTTTTCCATTTGATTACATTTTGTATGATGGATTATGTAGAAAAAGTAGAATTGGGCTGAAAGATCTATCGCTTTATCACCTCTTCAGGTTGTAAATCGTGTTTTTAAAAAGTAACTAAGTAACTAAGTAATTAACTCATTCACTGCCAGCCATTTTCAAATCAGGTAACTCCCCACTGCCAGGGTTTTTGAGCATTTTTACTCATTTTTGAAGAGCCACAGAAAACTGTGTGTTATGATCATATAAACGCTGAACCTACCAAAATGAAGAACAGACTCTCTTCTTTCATCCAAAAACAAAAGCTTGTTTCTACCATTTTCCATTCTTTAGTAATCAGCTGTAGAAGAGAGGTGGGTTCCACCAAAAATGCCTGTTTTGACCAAAAAAAGGGAGAAAACGAGCTTTTTGTGAAAAATACATTTCAAGCAGAAAAGTGCCTTTGACACTAATATTTCTTGGTTTGTGACAAGGTTGTATTATAGCCCCTCCCATTGAAAAACGTAATTGACGTCTATAGACGTCAATGGCAGTGAATGAGTTAATTACTTTTGAAAATAAGTAATCAGTAAAGTAACAGGATTACTTTATTGTGGAAGTAATCAGTAATTAGTTACTGGTTACTTTTTTCAAGTAACTTGACCAACACTGGTGAGGACACAGGGCTGTGTCTCTGATACGCTGGTCTGCAGTACGGGGGCCCCACAGGGAACTGTGCTGGCACCGTTCCCTGTGGGGCCCCGTACTGCAGACTTCTCCATCAACTCCCCACGCTGCCACCTACAGAAGTTCTCTGACGACTCTGCCATAGTCGCCTCATCACAGGTGAGGACGACTCAGAGTGCAGACAGTGGACTCTGGACTTTGTGGACTGATGTCAGCAGAACCACCTGCTGATCAACACCAGGAAAACCAAGGAGTTGGTGGTGGATTTCCGGCAAGGGCGTAGATTTGGCATGGACGGAAGGGACATGTCCCCATATCCAGCGATTATTGAATTGTCCCCACCAATAATTTGATCTCTTCGAGTAAAGAAATCAAACCCGATAGAAAGAAAAAAAAAAGATCTGTCAGCGTCTCATTCACCCAGCGGTGCAGAAAGAGTGAAATTACATTCTCTACTGGAGTCCTACGTCATGTGACAAATATGGCCAATGTGATTGGCTGAGCCTTTCAGGGAGCTCTGTTTAGTTTTAGCAGCGGCAAGCCTGCTGCCAGGACCTGCAAGAAGGAGAGGAGGACGGCAGCAAAGAGGAAGAACCTGGATATAAGAAAGTGTTTTTCAAAGAAACCTGTAAGTCACTTAAAGCCAAGTTCACTCATAAAATGTGTCCGTCATAATAACGTTACAGGCTATGCTAGGCATTGGCCCACATCAGTATAAAAGTGTATGTAACCATGAATAACGTGTTTTGGGAAACTAACTGCACAACAGGCAGCACTATTGGTTATCTCAGTCTCGAGCAGCATTTCTAATTTTGATTGAAACTGTCAGAGAAAACTGCAGCCTCGAGCAGCCAGGATATTAGTTTACAGAGGCTGTACCATGTACACCAGGAGAGGCTGGACAGTATAGATGTAAAACCAATATGCCAGCAGTTTATCTCAGTTAACGAGAGGAGCAGGCATGTGTTTGGCTGCTTCACATAGTGAACATTGAGTTGTTGTGTCCATGTCTGTTGCTGTAACAGTAGTTCATGTTTAGAATAAAAAAAATCCAGCTCACTGAGTTGATCGGGGCAACAGTGCCTAAAATGTTGCATAATTTTGCTGAGATGTTTTACTCTGTGGTCATCTTAGATGAGTAGTTTTATTGACAAAGCCCACCAGGTCATTCAGTGTTCCCTTACTGCTAATGTATAAGACATGTTGGTGCACTATAACTGAGGTAATGTTGTTAAATCCTTAAAGTCATATTCTTTTATTGTCATGACTGTATTTGAAGCTGTTTTTATTTTTGTATGATACCTGATTTGTATGGAATATGGTTGAAGTAACCTAAAGTCTAAAATACTTAGTCATTTGTTTAATAGTAATTTAACATTATATAATTCACATATAAAACTATGAATTGTAATTTTAAATGGTTTAAAAGCACGTAGAATAGCATATGTAGGCAAGTATATTTCTCCTTTTATCAAGAAGCAAAGACAAAAAGGACAAAAAAGAAACAGGGCGGGGTTTGGTGGTTGAATCATCCGTCCCCACCAATGCCAAAACCAAATCTACACCCTTGATTTCCGGAGACGCTGACCCACCACACTGACACTGGTGAACATCCAGGGAGTGGACATTGAGATAGTGGACTCTTATAGGTACCTGGGTGTTCACCTGAGTAATAAACTGGACTGGAGCCACAACACTGATGCTCTGTACAGGAAGGGTCAGAGCAGACGCTACCTGCTGAGGTGGCTGAGGTCATTTGGAGCACAGGGAGCGCTTTTAAAGACCTTCTATGACTCTGGTGGCATTTGTCATTTTTTTCAGTGTGGTATGTTGGAGCAGCAGTTTATCGGCAGCTGAGAGGAAGAGGCTGGATAAACTCATCAGGAAGGCCAGCTCTGTTCTGGGATGCACCCTGGACCCAGTGCAGGTGGTGGGAGACAGAAGGACTCTGGCCAAAATAGCATCTCTGATGGACAGAGTCTCCCACCCCATGCATGTAGATGTTGCTGCAGAGCTGCTTCAGTGACAGACTGCTGCATCCTCGATGCATGAAGGAGCGTTTCTGCAGGTCCTTCCTCCCTGCAGCTGTCAGACTGTACAATCAGAACTGCTCCCAACAAACACAGATGTTTACATCAGCGCTGTAACTGCAGTATTTTATCAACTGACTCACTCTACAGCCTGGGTTTGCCTCTTATCTGTATGATTTAATAATTACCTCTAAACAGTACTCTGTTTTTGGTAACCATTGTCCTTGATATAAATATGTAAAAGAAAAAACTGTTTCTGTCCTGTGTACTCTTTGTTTGTATATGTGTCTTTCTTGCTGCTGTTACATCCAAGTTTCCCCTTGTGGGACAATTAAAGGACTATTCTATTCTATCCTATTCTATTCTATTCTATGCCCACAGAGTTCTGGCTGATTGGGGCTGGCTCGGACCGGCTTATCAAAGAACAAGAAGCAGGGTTTGTTCAAAATCCCACAAGGCTGGCTGACATGATAGATAATGGCAGGGCTGTGAGTACTACGCAATATTGATAAGATCTTGAAGAAGAAGAACGAGAATTGAGAGACCTGGTGACCAGTGATGGACATTAGACCTACTGTAAAACTGGAAGCAGTTTGTTCACACCAACCAAAACAACCATCTTCATCTCATGCCCCCCCGCATCCCAGAAAATTAATTACTTATTTTCAAAAGTAATTAATTACTTAGTTACTTAGTTACTTTTTAAAAACAGGATTTACAACCTGAAGAGGTGATAAAGCGATAGATCTTTCAGCCCAATTCTACTTTTTCTACATAATCCATCATACAAAATGTAATCAAATGGAAAAGTCTCTTTTTAAAACTTGTTTTATCAGTTTTAATCTTTTAACTTTATGCATCAAGCAAAAATTTAATTATATGCAACATTCTCTGACTGGAAGAAATTAGTTTAACATTTAAACCTATTTTCTGCACATTCCAGCTCATAAAATAAAATATTTTTTGTGTTTACACTCAGTCTTTCAAATAGATGCAAGTAAAACACAGCAGAAAATAAATAAAGTCACAGACTCAGCGGTCCTGTTGCTCTATTTTCACCTGTAAAGCAGGAGTGGGGTAGGCGGAGGTTTACCCTGGTGCAGGTGTGCCGCGGTCAGTGGAAGAATCCGCGAGTTTCTCTGTGAGTTTCCCATCACGTCGTAGCTACTCGGTGCTTGTTGGAAGTTTAGGGGTTTTTTGCTGTAAAAAGAAGTTTTCTTCCCACGCACGATGGACACTAATGTTTTTGTCACTTTTTATGGAATCAAACTCAAAGTAAGGTCAGTGCTTCCACGCTTTAAACGCTGCACGCTCATACTCTCTCCCACAATCGATATGTGATCCATTGTTGATCTGCACACAGCTGTTGTCACGAACGTCGCACTCGCTTACGTCACTGTCATGAGACATTCTCGCGAAAATCACGGTTTTAGTAACGCAGTAACGCAGCGTTCCTACGGGAAAGTAACGGTAATCTAATTACCATTTTTGCAATAGTAATCCCTTACTTTACTCGTTACTTGAAAAAAGTAATCGGATTACAGTAATGCGTTACAAGTAATGCGTTACTGCCCATCTCTGGTTGTGACTCTCCTCTCTCATTCAAGGCCACCCACGTTGACCGAAGATTGTTGACTTTTGCCTAACCGGGTGAAAGGACACTTTCTCTCAGCTGAACACAAACACACACATGTACACTGACACATACCTACACTACCACCCACCCCCTTCGAAGCTTTTGTCTTCTATGTTGTGAGATGTGTTGACTCATGTGCTGAGGGGTTTTTTCTGTTCTCAAACTGATCTCCCTGTTGAAGCTCAGTCATCAATGAGTGTGTTAGTTCTTCTGTCAGATTCACCCTTTCTCTTGATGTCTGAACTCAAAACTCTTAAAAATTGCTCAGTTTAACATCAGAAAGAGAATTTACTAATCAGAGGGTAACCTACTGACTAACTCACCCATCGAACTGAATTATCGTCTGTGCAAACTTCAACTTCAGCTGCAACTCACCTTGAGAAACACTTGGCGTGGCTCAGCACTGAGTCCAAGGCCACCAGAGTCCCACCGCACACGTGACTTCCATTCTTCTGTAAGCTCGCCATCCACGGCCATGAGCCGGCTGTCGCATCTGAGGTTCCTCCCACAATCCCAGAAGTTCTTGGAGCTTGTCCACAGACCACGGCTGAGGAGAAGAACCAGGGAGAGACAGAAAGAGGCAGGAAATACTTGGATCACACAAAACCATCACTTCAAGTTCAGGTAGTGAAGAATTCAGAAAGTGTCAGAGAGCAGCAGCTGTATTATCTAAAAGTTTAGAGGAAACAAAGTGTTAATGTGATGGAAACTCACATTGGGGAGTGGTTGGAGGCAATGTGGTTGTGGTAGTGGTGGTGGTTGTAGGTGTGGTGGTTGTGGTGGTAGTGGTGGTGGTGGTGGTTGTGGTGGTGGTGGTAGGGGTGGTGGTTGTGGTGGTAGTGATGGTGGTGGTAGGGGTGGTGGCTTTTGCAGAGGAGGTGGTTGTGGTGGTGGAAGTTGTAGTGGTTATAGGAGTAGTTGGGGTGGTTGAAGGTGTGGTGGTTGGAGGGGTGGTGGTTGGCACTGGTGGCAGTCCTGTGCAGGAGACACTGAGGTCACTGTTGGTCCCAGTGGACGTGAACGTCATGAAGCCCGGCTGGTTGGAGGAGATCTGGCTGTTGATCCAGGTCTGGTACTGGGATACTCTGGCGTAGACTCCTGGAAAATTAGGCAAGGCGCAACTTTTCCCAAAACTGACGACTCCCGCCTGAATCCAGCGACCGCTCTGCTTGCTCACCATTGGACCTCCTGAATCCCCCTTTGAGAGCAGAAACATTTACTGTTAGCTGAGGAGAAGAAACTGTAGAAGGTGAAAATGTGCCAAACACAGGTAACAACAATCACCTGACAGGAGTCCTTTCCTCCTGCACTTAACCCGGCACAGATCATGTTGTCAGTGATTGATCCCACTCCATAGTTACAGTTACACTTCCTGTTTCCCTCAACAGGAACCTCCACCTCCATCAGGTTTTGTGGAGAAGGAAGGGACACTGAAGGGGGTAAAATAAATATATCAGTTTGTAATAAATAACATGTGACTGATTAACCTTCAAACAAAAGGGCGGCTCCACCAAACTTAAAAACAAAGTGTAGTCATGTGTGCAAACAAAGATGGGGAAACATGTTTGTCCGCTGGGGTTGGAGCTCTCTGCAGAACACAGTCACATGACTTTGATGCCGCTCTGTCATCTTGTCCTGTTTTATGTTATTTGAGTATTTTAGATGAAGCACAACAGCTGCTGTTCTTAAACGTGATACAGAAATAAACTTGACACACAGACAGTAGATGGTCGTCATCATGTAGTAACTGTCTAACACCACCTGGGGGCAGTGTCAGATACACAGAAAGTATACTTTCTTTTAACCAAGGATCATTTTGACCTGACATCATCGTGCAGACAGCATGTTTGCTGCAGGTCCAGCACTTCCAGACTGTTTAATTCACATAATTATTCTTTCTGGTTTTGAACTCTGCACAGATTTAACCTCATGGAAACATCTTATTGCTCTAAATATTTCTGAGACAGCAAACTTGTTCCCTGTATTATTGTCATCATTTCTCTAAAACCAATCTGGTGTCTTTATGACCCACCTCCACTTCCTATATCGCCCCAGCCGGTGACCCAGCTGTTAACACCGCTGTAGAAGATGCTGTCTGAAGCTGCCAGGCAGACGGGAGAAATGTAGTTGTTGAAAGTCACCGGTGAGGAGAGCTGCAGGAGGCAGACGTCGTTGTCGTTGGTACCAGAGTTGTAGTCTGGATGTTTGATGATCTGTGTTACTGTCCGAGACGCTGCATTGGGGTTAGATCCCTGTAGACTCTGAAGGCCCAGATTCACAGTCAGACCGGTTGGAGTAATGCTGAGATCATCAGGAGCGACACGAACAGTGCACAGTTGTTACAATTGTTATAGACGAGAAAACATATATAAAGTTTGACTTCACAGCGTCTTTAAATCTTGTTTAGAGTGCAGCTTCAGCCTCATTACTCACGTTTCAAAGCAGTGAGCAGCAGTCAGTACCCACTGACTGTTAATGAGGGATCCTCCACAGAAGTGGGACCCAGATCTTTGCAGACTGACCTGCCAGGGCCAGCTGCCAGCGCGGGCCACCTGTCCTCCTACAATCCTGGTGTTCAGAGACGCCTTACCACAAACTGAAGACAGACATTAAAACACAGAGTGAGCATTACTGGAGGAGCTGTAAACTCTCAGCACTACAAACTGCTGAGTGAGGACACAGTGATCCTGGAGTCTACAGTTCACTCACAAACTAATATTCATATGAAACTAAAGATTTATTAAACATAAAACTAAATCATTACACAAAGAAGCTTTTTCTTACCATCCAGCTGTGACTCAGACTCTGAAACACAGAAAACAAACCATTTTAAAACTAAAAATCTTCATTTATCTGTCTGTGATTAGTTCACTGTCTGTAATAATAGTGGAAAATTGACTGTCTGTGGTTAGTTATAAACAAGCCTCTGAGAAATGAAGCCAACTCCTGCAGTCCCTCTGTTGTCCAGTAGAGGCAGCCGTGAGTCAGTCCCCATAGTTTGCTCCTTCAAAACACCTGTTTTTATAACTCACCTATTTAAACTGTACTAATAAGTTTACGTTATTAGGGGCGTGGTCTCTTTGGCTGAAAGGTGGATGGCGACACAGGCGGCTGTAGCTACTAGCTCTCTGCTAGGCCTCACCTCAGCTAACTGGAGTCCCTGAGCAGGACCTCTGGACTGTTTTTAATGACATCATCTAACCAATAATATGGCTGCTGTACGAACAAACTGTCCAAGAAGGCTGATCTCCAGTTTAGGTGAAATTCTAGGATTTTAACTGGGTGTTACTGAGCACTAATTATCAGGTGTCAGTGATGCTCCCATACAGCTAGCTTGCATTAGCTGATTATCAAATCAAATCAAAATGTATTTATATGGCATATTTAAAAACAACAATGTCAATCAAAGTGCTTCACAAATTAGGAAATAAATAAAATAAGACAAATCGACCAAACAGCAACACAAGACAAGACAAAGTTAGAAGCCAGCCAAATGATAGTCAAACTAAGTTAAGACAGCGCCAGGGTAAAAAGATTCATTCAAGCAAGATTTAAAGGCTTCATAGACTAAGAAGTGTGAATGGCAATAGGGAGATTGTTCCACAGTCTAGGTGCTGTAATAGCAAAGGCATGATCAGCCTAGACTTAGGTTGCATTAAGAGCATCTGGTTTGAAGATCTTAGTGCTTTTTTAGGATTAAACACATAGAGAAGTTCTTTAGATAGCAAGGTGCAGTGTTATTTAAGATTTTATAAGTGAGTAAAAGAATTTTAAAATCAATGCAAAATTTATTCATCTCATAATGTTGTTGGTCCAGATCAGCTCGCTCTTACAGCAGACTGGTTTTACCACCTGTTCTGAAGATCATTAACATACAGAGTTTCTGTGTGTGTGTGTGTGTGTGTGTGTGTGTGTGTGTGTGTGTGTGTGTGTGGGTTGGGGGGGGAGTTGGGGAGTTGGTTACTGTGTGACTCAGCAGGATGAAAACACTGATGATGTTTATCTCTCAGACAGAAACCACACAGAGAAATACTGTACACACGCTGCACGTTGTAATACTAATACTACTGCAGTATTACTGCAGTTCCTGACGAGATGTTAAAGGAGTCCACTGGTTATACGTAGGCAGTACCTGTGTGTGAGATCACCATCACCATCAGTGTGTTTGTAGTTCAAACATTCAGCTCAGCACAAGCGCCTGATGTTTCTACAGCTGAATATATGTTTAGCCACCCTCCATAAACACTACGTGGTTCATTAGGTTCACTCTGCTTCTGTGGATTCATTCGTTTTGCACTCATAGCGAGGTGTATTGCCATCACAGTAAGTCGCTCAATTCCTGCCCTGAACCATGATGAAGGAACCTGTCATCACTGCTTCAGCCGTCACCATAAACCGACACACATTTTTTCTTCAATAAATGTGATGACTATGCAGCAGTGCCACTTTACAGTGAAGCGCTGTGCTCCTGAGTGTTTTCACCCTCTGAGTCGTTCCTGATGCAGGTGTGTGCAGAGAGCTCTTACCTTGGGTCAGGAGCATCAGCCCAGCAGCCAAACACATCACTTTGTAGAAAGCCATCGCTGTAAGATCCAAACCTCCAGACCTGCTGAGGCATAAATACCCTTCCTCTCTCCTCCTCCTCTCTGTCTGCATTAAACACACCTCTGCCAGACACCTGTCTAACGACACGCCCAACACTTCCCTCCAGCTCACCTGATCCTCCCCCCATCAGACACGCTCTATTAAACAGGAATTTCAGGTTTCAGGCAGCAATGTTGAACTTTTGAACTAATTATTTAATTTTTTAGGATTAATTATTGATTTCACATCAGGAAATCAAACAGACTGCTACAGACTGAAGCATTTTCTTTAATCTGTTGTGTTTACCTGAGGACCTTTTCTCAGATGTCATTTGTTTTCATCCCCTCAGCAGAATTTCATTAACATGAGAGTCTACAGGCTCTTGGCCCTTGATTTCAAAATCTTGTTTTTAAAAATAAACAAGATCACAGACATTAATTTAATGCATTTTCTTGTTTTCCAAGCTGTGGGATTAATAAAGGCTGTATCATCCTTTTTTATTATTATTATTATTACTGAAGGTCAAGTAAAATTTATTTAAAGATACGTTTAACCAATATAAACTAAAATGTAGACTCAAAGAACATATCGAGTTTGGACATCTATAATGTTTACTGAGATGTTTACACTTCTAGTTATAACTGAGACCTTTTTTTTTTTTGCCTTTCCCGTTTGGATCGTTAACCATCAAAACTGTTGTCTGAGGGCCGAGAAAGATGCGAAGTGGATTTACTTTACCAAGTGGATCATCATGGCCTCGCCATATTGGTCCATTTGATTGACCTTTATTATAATTATGTATTTATTTGATTTGATTTTCGGTTGTTACAGACGGGACAGACATGACTGAGGGATAGGACAGGGAGAAGGAATGAAAGAAAGAGAGGGAGAGAAAGAAAAATAGAAGAGATGGGGAGAAAGGAAAAAAAAAGAAAAACAAAACACCTTGATCACCTGGCCAATCGGCCACCAGGAGTGAGTCGGTACATACATGAGCACCCAGCCCCAGACACCAAGAGCCACCAACACACCAACGTCTGAGGGCATCAGCCACCGGCAGGGAGTGTGGTGAGGGGAGATGGGCCTCCAAACCTCGGAGAGCCTGAGATGTTCCCAGAGAGGCGGAGTCTGAGACCCTACCTGACATATAGACACAGACGAACAGGCGCACGCAGACACAAAGGTGCATTCCCACCCCCATATACACAAACAAATACTCGGCACTCATCCGACACATGGAGACAGACACAAATAGACACTGTGCACACATTCACACTCCCCAAACATACTCTATATCCCAGGTCCAGGTACCCCTGCCCCCAGAGGGGCAACCCGTACCCGGACCCAGGAAGTGTAACCCTTCTCTCTTGAGTGGAGGCAAGCAGACCGCCTCCATATCTGCAGTAGAGGGAGGCCCCACATCCCAGACCACAATATGACAGCCAGCACCTCCTCCTGAGACCATTTTGTAAAATATATACATATTTTGCCTTTTTGTATCTTTTAACTTGAATTATCAGACTCTTCAGAGCGGTAAGTCTCAACATGGTAGGTAATAGAGCAGGTCTATCTGGAAATTATTTTGTTCTAGTCAGACTATCTAGTGAGACTTTTGTTGTTGTGATACAGCTTGTCATATTTGAATGAAAAATTGCATTTTGAACCTGAGGAACAAAACGCACAATGAGAAAACAAGTGGGCCAAGAATGGAGCCCTGAGGGACGCCATGGTGACAACACGACACAGTAACTTAAAAAGTCCAGGGAGGTATCCAATCAGGTCAGCTGTTTGCATTGATTAGGGCTGTTGCCGTGTTGTAAAAGCTGTCATTGAGTCTGCCAGACAGCAGCAGCTTAAACACCCGGTGTCCTGGGTGTGTACATTCCTGTAGGATGCTGCGTGCCCTCTTGACACAGCGAGTACTGTACAGGTCCTTCAGGGAGGGAAGAGGATGTTCAATGATTTTTTGGGCCATATTGATGACCCTCTGAAGTGCAGCTGGAAAACCACACACAGATGCAGTGCAGCACACTCTCAATGGAGCAGCGGTAGAAGACGATCAGCAGCTCCTTCTTCAGAAACTGAAGACGCTGTTGGGCCTTTTTTAAAACCGTCTTACTTGTTTGTTAAGTCACTTGACACTGAATCAGAAAATAAATGTTACTTCGTTTGTAATGTGGTGTAATTACATGATAGTATTTTTAGATTTAGGTTAAACTATTTCCTGCACCGAATTGAAATAAATCAGTCAATGAGTCTTCAGCACTTTTCCTTATTCACTCAGATCAGAATAAATATTTGCACAGTTACGTAAAATAAACAGTAAAGGGTAATGGAACATTTTTAAAAGTCCTATTATCAGGAAGAACAACGACAGGCTGCTATCAGGTGAATCTCACCTGTCAACATTCTCGCTGAACGCCACACAGCCTCCTTTCAACTTTGTACGGCGCAGTTTGACCTGATGCTTCAGATAATTCAGATTTCCTTCCAAATCAACTCAGACGTCAAACTTTACACATTTACTCACAATTTTACACAGCAGACGATTGTTTATCAATAATATAATGATGTAGAAATACTCTATTTTAACTAAAGTCAGGTTAAAGTAAATTAAAATAAGCAGCAGACGGTGGTAACATTCAAGTCCGTTACACCAACATCAGATTTTCCATGTTTGCAGGTCGTTTTTCACATATATGAGCAATCTGAGAGTCAGCACACGATTATAGTATTATTATGGATTATTGCAGGCTAATTATTACAAGAAATTAATTGAAACCAACGAGAAAGGTGATGACTGAAAAACCATCTGAAGACAAGAAGCAGCAATGGCAGCAAATTCATCCTGAACAAAGAAACAAGGAAGAAAAAATTATGTTAAGGGATTAAAGGAGGACTCATGAAGGACTGAAACTATCTGAAACAAGCCGCTTTAGTTCCTGTCTCTTTAAGAAAGTGGGCTTTCTTCTGATTGGCTGAGTTCTTGAAGGCCACTTACGAGCAGCACACAGAGTATGTGAGCTCTATTGTGTCTCTATTGTGTCTGTTTGTCGTCGGCGACTGTGAAATAAAACCAAAACAATGGGAGTCAGTTTCTGAGACCTCATTATTTCACTAGAATCGGGAAAAGCAGATAAGCCTTCCCAGCATACGTCTTTAACAGAACAACATTCCTGTAAATCTGTGGAAAGCAGGATTTCTGATATAAGGTTCAAATGTGCACGAGGATCCAGGATGGCCTTTGGGGGGATCGTTTAAGGAAGCATCTTCTGTGACTCACCCAGAGATTATAAAAGGCCAAACATCTGCTTTGTGAATGAAACCAATTAATTTCCATGCTTCATTTATCTGCAGTGACAGCGGGACCTGCACACTGGGGACTGTGAACAATAGGCCTGCAGCCCAGTCAGGAATAAACTGGTCAAACTGCATCAGGTTTCCCAGAATCAACGAATGAACAGGAAGTGTTTCAGAACGAGTGAAACGCTGATGTTTCCACTGAGCACATCGTGTTGTGTCAAAAGTGTTTCCCTCCGCACGTCTTTATCTTAAACCTCGCATGAAATTTAGAAACAGAAATATCAGACTGAGTCACCGAGAACATGAACTGAACTGAAACTCACACATACGAAATCAAATCAAATTCAAATGTATTTGTCACATACACAATCATACACAGTACGACATGCATGTTACATAATAGATAAGAGATGAACAAAGGTCTAAACGATGTACAGAATAAATTACGAATTTAACCTAAGAAGTAAAGTCTGAACTAAAAGCTAAGAAAATGATAACTGTGAAACAAACAAGCTCACCATCCGTAACACAATGAAACAGAGACTGAAAAGAGTTCACACAGAATGACAGCAAGCTTTCAACTGAAGATGGATATGAACCAGAACTCTGGAACATTGTAGCACGAAGCCATAACTCTTCCCCACGACATGTTATTGACCTAATCTTGGTCTGTTGTGTGTGTGTGTGTGTGTGTTTTCTAAATGGTCTTATGTCAGAGAATGTTAATATGTTGCTTGTTTGGTTGTTTATTAGCACAATAATTACTAAATAAAAAGTTAAAAAGAATAAAATAAAATGTGCAAATAAACAGTTTACAGACGAGTTACATTATTGTAAAGAAAACTGGTGTAGCTGAAATTCAAATAATTGACGGGGGGAGGCGGAGGCGTAGCACAGGGATCTGAGCCTCTGTGAGTCCCCTTTACTTTATCGATCCACATCTCTAAGCAGCAGTCTGTTCATATTGGTGTGCTCCAGGTATTTCTTTGATGAAAATGTTCGGGGTGGTGGGGTAGTCTTCATCACCTGATGTCATCCCTCCTCTTCTTCGATTCCTCTGCCCATGTGCGATCCTCCAAGCAGAGATGTCATTTCCAGGAACAACCAGAGTACCGCGGGGTCGCTCGTCGAGTCCTCAATGAAGAGCGGTGAATGGAGCTAAAGGGTTAAAATAACTGTTCACACCTGTGTTTCCATCCATCTTCTTCTGCTTATCCAACAAAGCGATGTCATCGAGCGAGAGGCAGGGCACACCCACGACAGGTCACCAACTTATAATGGCACCATTTCTCCCACCTTTGTCTTCCTAACTCCTTCTGGAGCCTTTTAGCTTATAGACAGATAGAACTTCATTCAGAACTTCAGGTAGTTCCTCTGGGAAATATTTATCTGTACAGTTAAACTGATCTGGATAAGTCCTAAAATTTTTCCCAAAGGTTTTTAGAGATGTTGAAACTCCAGAGTCAGGACATGATTACTGAAACTTCTCTCCAAGAAGATTAGAATACGAGCCCATGACCTGCCAGAACTTCTCCACACAAGTCTGCATCCTTCAAGAAAAACATGATTTCCATGCAGGACAATGCTCCATCACACGCGTCCAAGTACTCCACAGCGTGGTTGGCAAGAAAGGGTATAAAAGAAGAAAAACTAATGACATGGCCTCCTTGTTCACCTGATCTGAACCCCATTGAGAACCTGTGGTCCATCATCAAATGTGAGA